GGAAAGGGATCTACGCGGCCCCCAGCGCCTGCTTGGGCGTGCCGATGGCATGACCTCCCGTGACTGCACGGTGAAGGGATCAATATGGCCCGAAATTTTGAAAAACTAAAATCCTCCTCATCATATCGGTCTATTGCAGGTTATTGCAAACTGTTATGGCGCAATCTCTGTTACTTAGAACTCCGCAGGAATTTCTTGCCTAGCCTCGGACACAATTGCCAGACGCGTCACACACACACACCAATATTCTACTTCATTTTATAATTCGTCCCTTATTTCTCGCACTGTAAGCTTGGCAACGTTTTGTTAGGCGTGGTCATTACACTTTAAAAACCTAAGTATGCTAGAGGATTCCTCATTTGTGTACTTTTCGTGTGTTTTATCAGAAAAACGAAAAATTGAGTAAAAAGTTCTATCAGCAATGCGCTTCTGATCGGTTCAGACAGCCTGCCAGTTTAGTAAATACCGGTCCTGTACCAAAACAATAATTTCATCCTCCCCATACATCTCCCAAACAGGATTATGAAATACTAAAGTCCTTAGTATCATATTGTTCTATTATAGGTTATTGCAGACTTTAAGGGCGCATTCTCTGTTACTTAGAACTTCGCAAGAATGTCTTTCCATGCCTCGGACAGAAATGCTGGACTGGTCACACGCATAACAGCATTCTTGGTTTAATCTGAGGAGACGTTTGTAACCAGCCCAAAGATTTTAGTTTTGGTGTTAACTAGCGCAGAGAATGGCTAGCTTAATGGTTAAAATAGTTACTTAAAAAATTGATCAGCCAAAATAAGTGTGAAGTGGATTTGTCAGCTACCTACACATCGTGCACAGAAAGGGACAGGCCAATGTGTTTCTAGAACTGTGCGGGACCCGAGGCACCGTTCTGGATAAAATATCTGTTTAGCCAAGAACGTGATTTCTTTAGATACGGAAACGCTTCAAGGTTATCTAGAACCGTGCCTTCTGGTGGATAATCACAGTGTTGTATCAAGAACTGTGTTTGCGATTATCTCACCGTCTAGGATGAGTCAAGCCGAGAAGGTTTTATCACATGGAAAACCGTTGGCATTCGTTTCCTTTCAGGGATGTTCGTAGTGCGTGTGAAATTTATTTTTACGCCCATGTGCCAAAGACATTCATTTACATAAATCCCAGGCTCCCGCTGTAGCTCATTTGCCGTTTGTTTCGGCGGCATTAGCGTCATGGCACAGCCTGGGTTTGACGATTTCTTGTTTCTGTGATTTCGAAGATGATTTTGATGACATTACCTTGATATAACGTTAGAATGAAGTCCGGAGTCTTCCAAACACCAAAAGCTCCACCAAGACCAGCTCTCTTTTACACTGGTGTACATCTCTATTGTTGTGTGGGCTCGCTAGCGCACATGTGTGTGAAAGGGGGTTCTTTAACGTAATCAAAAAGTGACTCTCAGCTTTGCATGAAATGTGAGGGGACATTTTGTAACCGAACTATTTACCTCGGTGTGCCGAATAAACAATGTATTTTCCCAAGACACAAGGTGACATTGCAATGTGTAACAGATTTAGACTATGTCAGCAGCTTTAGTCACAAGGTTTAAAAGACAATCAGTATGCAGGGCAAAGTGCATGCGCTGGTTGTGAGTTTAATGAGGTCGACCTATCAGGTCATACGTCCGGTCAAGGATATACTACAGGCGGTTCTGTATAATGTCCTTGGTCTGGTAAAGGCCTTAGGCTAGACGAGTTTTCAAGACGATGTTTGACGTTGTTCTAGACTCTTATGATATCATTTACAGTACAATGTCAGAAAAAAATGTATAAAAATGTAATATATTTGAATGAGCCGGATCCTTTGCTTGGACATTAGGGTATGTCACAATAGCCCGATCGGATGCGTATCTCTCTCTCTCTCTCTCTCTCTCTCTCAAGGTCGCTGCTGTTTACACGTGACACTTTCCGACCTATCAGACCTCGCAGCACTGCTTTGAACACGATGTAAAATCTATATCAAAGTTCAGTCTTTTTTTTATCTTTTTTAAGGTACCAACTCCGGCGGTACTTCTTAGATACAATATTTACGCCTGCTTACTAAACAACAGGCGATTCAACTGATAAAAGATAGGCTCAATGGCTCATGATGATCATATCCGTGCTACAGAAGTTTTTTTTTTTATTTATTCCAACATGTAATCACCAGACGTGGTAACGACACACTCAAGTTTCTTCAACTTATATTAATGCCGCCACCAGCACAGGGGACAAATACAGGACAGGACAATACTCATTTACACCTGAGCTAAGTGAGGAAAGTCGTGTAAAGTGCCTTTCCCAAGGGCACAAGATCGGTTGCATGTCAGGACTCGAACCCGGGACTCTTAGTTCCGAGTCGCGCACTCTGCCGCTACGCCACACGACCCCACCGAAGTATGCTACAGAAGTATGCACACTTTTCGTGTGGATAGCTAAGTTAAATGTTAGTTTGTGCAAAACAAACTTAAGATGATTTCGTGCCAGCAATACTCCATGCAAGCAAAGTCTTGAAAACTTACTAATATATGTTTAAACTAATATATGTTTGTTTGGTTCAGCTTGAACACGAGTCACGACTGTAAATGTACCCGGACCCTATTTGTTTCTCCCTCGCTCTATGCAAGGACTATCAGACCCTGCTCTGGTATGTTATGCTTTTTTACCCCCATGAAAAATGGAGGTATTGTTTTGGCGTGTCTGTGTGCGTGTGTCTGTCCGTCTGTGTGTTTGTGTTTCCGCACATTTGTAGTCAGCATAACTTCAGAACGCCTTTATGAGTTATAATGCTATTTGGTATGTTGATAAGTGTTAGGACGAGAAAGGTCAAGGTCAAATATGGGCCTCCTGGTGGATGACCTTGGCACTGCAGCAGAATTTCCGATTTTTGTATCTTTTGTCCTGAACATACTATGGTCTTGACTTTTCGGTAACAGATAGCTTTTCCTGTCAGCAATAAGTGGTGTAAGTTTGGTCTCCCTAGCGGCTTGTTCTGGAACTGCAGGGCACTTTCTGGCGAAATCTCTAAAAGCCAATAAGTCCACATAGGAACAACGTATTTTTATACCTTGTGACATGTGTAAGTTACTTAAAGGTTAACACCACTATGCATACATTATGTTAATGTGGAGGTCATTTGCATAATTAATGAGGACATGTTGAAATGAAGTATTACAAAGTAGAGGAGTTTTAAACGAAAATATTTGTCATTTGAATTAGGAAAATCATAAATTAAACTAGATTATTCTAATTACGACCTCATTTCCATAGTCAATGAGACAAAAAAATATTTCAAAAAAATGGGAGGCAAGGCGCACTAGCTAGGCCATCTCGACTGCTTTATTCTAAATAGGGGCGTTGTTGCAGGTGAGTGAAATGGGGCATGGACAGACAGTTTAACTTGTTAAAGGTATTCAAACCGGGAATAAATTGCCATACCGGGACAGGGTCTTGGGAGCCTCTGTTTAATTCTGGTCCTAATTACCTTCGCCAAGAAGGTTATGTTTTCAGGGGCGTTCGTGTATGTGTGTGTGTGTGTGTGTGTGTGTGTGTGTGTGTGTCTGTCTGTCAACACGATAACTTGAGAAGGCCTTGATGTATTGTCTTGATACTTGGTAGGTCGGTAGGTCTTGATGAGACCTCAAAATGATTAGATTTTGGACCCCCTAGCGGCTTGTTATGGTACTGCAGCTGAACTTCTGGTTTTGATATCTCATGATCTAGGCATGCTATGGTGATGAAATTTAGATGGTAGGTAGCTCTTGTGCTGGGGAAGATGTGAGTTTAGGCCCCCTAGCGGCTTGCTCTGGAACTGCAGCGATATATTCTTGAAAATATTCAAAAGGGGATAACTCAAGAACCGGTTGATGGATCGTCGTGATTTTTGGTATGTAGGTAGCTTACGTGATCCTTCACATAATTATGTGACAATTATGCAAATATGGATATAATTTGCATAATTTATGGGGAAATTTTATAATTATGTAATGATAACTGCCTGGAATTTCATACTTGTGGTATTTGAAAGTTAAATTGAGGTGAACATCATTAAACATAATTTATTCAAATCAGGACCTCATTTGCATAATTTATTAGGAAATGCTAGAATGCATTTTTTGTTAATATAAGACTGTTTTTTTGGTTGAGATTATGATAAAATGATATAATTCATGAAAATTAGGTTCCTATTTCTCAAATCAGGGGGGAATAATCTAATCTATAATTTGTCAGTCATAAAGATTAACATCATTTGGCGAAGGTATGAGATCGGGGAACTCTAGTTTACTTATAGTATGACCAAAATTTTTAGAGGATTGTGTAGTGCAAAATTTATCACAAACTTCCGCCACATTATGACGTAAAACTTAATTATGACATTATTTCTGCATTTTTTTTCTTTAACGTCTGCATTTTTTCTTTAACGTCGTTTTTGTTACGTATAATTTTTATTGCTGTTGTGCAAATAAAAAAAAAACAAGGTTATTCCCGGTAGGGAAGGTATACAACAAAACAAAACAAAGCAAAACAAATACATGTACATGTATGTGTATACTACTGTATTAAGGTCTGTTAAGACTCGTGATTTCCATGACAACAACATCGAAATGGCGTAACTAAATTACGCTATGAATATTTAGGCTATCCGGTCTACTATTGGATCTGCAATCTTGTTTTTTAACCATATTTTATAAAGATATAATCTAGAAATAGAATACAAATGGGCTTATTTTAGTAAATTTTATCAAGTAAGGTCATTTTAGGGAAGGCTTTCAGACACTCTCCCATGTGAAAATATTTAGATAACTAACAACATAGGCATGGCAAATTATGCAAATATTTTACTACGGCTATTAACAAAAAAGCATGTTATCATTTATCCTGTTAGAATACGTCACAATTACCTATTACCTATAATTGAAATTGACTAGTACAGATCTTTGTGACTCATTATTCTTATATTACAGGTGAAATTGCCCGTGTGCGGCCATGGCTCCAGTCAGGGCCTTGATTATTGGAGCTGGAAACAGGGGAGAAATGTACGCTAGGTTCTCACTTGACAACAGTGAGCGCTTTCAGGTGAGTAGAGTTCGGAACGTGCCCTGGTATGGAATATACAGACGATTTCCTCACCTCACGTAGTCCCGCCCTTTTTCACAAGACGTGTTAACCTTTCTTCAGGTCTTTGGACGGATCCCTTTACATGGGGACATTTAGAATAGTTAGCCAGTGACAAAAGCACATTTAGAACAAAATCTCTGCTACACTATATTGAAGTATTTTGGATGGAGTTAGATACAAACGTTTTTTTTTAAGTCGTCAACATTGAATCTTTTTACAAAAGAACTTCCGCTACACTGTTGTAGTGCGCGGTGAAAAAAAAAGTAATGAAGGTTCGATATCCTAGCATATATGCATAATTTGCTGCAAAAGGACATAAAAATTTAACAGAACAAGACAGGAGAACAGAACACTTTTTTCTTGTTTTAAACATCTAGCCAAATTTTTCTTTTCTACTTACCCTTTTCATTTCTAACTGACTAACTGACTCATGGAGTCAAAGGTTAAATTTATGCAAAGCGAAGTAAACATGCAAAATTACTTCAAGATGTCACAATCCATGAAAACCTTCTTAAATTATGCTGGCCCCAAATATGCCGAAATACAGACAGACAGATACTCGGACATAGACAGGCCAAAAATAATACCTCACTTTTTATGAAGGTAAAAACCAAATCGGTTTAAATCACATTAGTTTGGGTTTAGTGTTCATGTTTCAAACTTGCACCAATTGACTTTAATCAATTTGACTTTGCGTGGCATTAATCAAAGTGACATCTTCCAGGTTGTTGGTGTTGCCGATCCTGGGCTGCTCAGGCGACAACGTCTTCAGCAACAGTTCAACATTCTTGAGAAAAATGTCTTCACAGGTAAGGCTTACCAAAACCTTCTATGTACCTTCCATTTTGTCACTAAACCTATAACGTAAAGTAAAAAGGAAAGAAAAGCGTACACGCAGAAAAGTAGATTTCATGACTTAGGCCAAAAGGTATGTCTTTGTGTGGAGCCTTTTTTTTTAATACACATGTGCTAATTTGATTATACATGTATATTTATACCGTCAACCAGACCTGAAATATAGCTCTGTAGGTTTATACTTTAATCCATGCTATTAGAAAATGCCACATGACGCACCAATTAGGTTTGTTTTCCTTGCCATTTTGTGACCTGTAATTTTGAGGTATGACAGAGGGCAAAGGAAAACAAGAACTCAGGGATTTTTAACTCATTCACTCGGGAATTTTCGCATTTTCCCGAGACCAAAAGGCATATCGAGTTAAACTCTGTCAATGAAGTAAAGACATATATTTCATATCTCTCAGCGCCGACCAAAACGGTACTTCCATCTCGGAAGTAAAAAAATTGTTATGCTGCTTTGACTATACAATGGCGTACTTTTTACCATCAGCATTTAAAAAAATCATGTGCCCGTGTCTGCACCGTTTTTCCAGATTGGCAGAAAGCTGCGGAGAGGGAAAAGTTTGCCGACTGTGTTGTCATAGCAACCCCCGACCAGCTACACAAAGGTCCTGCCCTGGCCTTCGCCGACAGAGGCTACCACATTCTTCTGGAGAAACCCATGGCAGTATGTACACTGAATTGTTGTGTACTAGTGTTATTCTGTGTGAAGAGAAAATGCAATAAAGAAACTTCTAATGCTTAATGGGAAACTAAAAGACAGCATCTATTCGCTGCAGAGTACTAGTACCTGCAAAACAATCGTTCCGTTGTAGGGACAAGAAACTATTGTTGTCACCATGTACGTACACGTAAGGATATGCTTCTTCTGCATATTTATCAGTTTGTTTGATTGCCCATGTGTCCGTAGTTGAATACGATAGAATAACACTAAGTGAGGGTGAAATGGTGTAAATGTAAACGCAGAGTTACATGGACGTCCAATTGGATTTGGACTCAAAGGCTTGGGAGCAATGACAGTGGAATATGCATAGAATCTGTTAACAATAATAAGTACAATGAAAAAATCACATGCCGTAACTTTAAATGGTAGGCGGAGGTGTAAAAGAATACTATTCTGCTTAGGGTGTCCTACTAAAATACACCTACAGTGATACCAACTAAACTTACAGCTTACAGAGGAGGACTGTCGTGAGATTGTGACGGCCTGTGAGAAGAACAATGTCATCCTATCTGTGTGCCATGAGCTAAGATACAACCCACCTGCCAGGAAAATAAAGGTCAGACAACTGTTACGCAACGTTAAACCGATGACTGTAATGTGTACGTGTTGGAATATACTTCATAACTTCAAGAAGAAGAAAAAGATGTCAGCTCTCTTCTTTAAATATCCATTCTGAATTAAAAGATTTCTTTCGATTCAAACAACTACGAGAGCTTATCTACTGCAGTCAAATGTTTGATATTTAATTCTAATAAATTTTCTTTCTTTGTGCATCTTGTGTTTTGTAGGAACTGATTGAGAGTGGAGCCATCGGGGACATAATTAACATTCAACACATTGATCCGGTAATGTTTCTTTTAATTGTAATTTTTTGTTGCTATTTCATGGTGTCCTTATGCCATAAATAAGATAAAATTAATTAAACCGATATAGAAGATGGGATCAAATATGTATACCATAGCTACTCATATACACGTACGATTAATTTTCTAATTTGATGGATATATTTTATATAACAAGAATGGAAGGCACTCATTGTAAATCATTCTCTTACAAGCTAAGAGCTACGAGCTAAGTACAGATCATGTAGAAACACAAAGAAATCTCACTATGCATGCACGACTTACATAGATATGTTACCATATATAACAAGGTAACTCTTACATCAAGTTAATAAAAATCCTCCTTTATTTACCCCTAGGTGGGATTTTGGCACTTTGCGCACTGCTTCGTGCGAGGACCGTGGCGGAACACAGCTGGCAGTAGCTTTTCTCTTCTCACCAAACACTGCCACGACATTGACATCATACGCTACTGGCTTAGCGGTTCAAGGTTTGCTTTTCAAATCTTCGATGCATCAATAGCTTTGTAATCTAATAAAAAAATAACAGGTTCTCCTCTCCTATAGGGTTACTTAAAATCTCCAATTTCTTGTAGTTTACGTTGCGATTTGTTCTCTGTTGCACCCTGGAAGTCTTCTGGGCCATTATACATAACACCTCACCTCACCTCACCGGTCCCATAGCAGTCTGTCCTGCCGTCGGGGCAACTAAACTGTCCACAAGAGTTATCCACCCAGGGCGGTTCTCAGCCAGACTTGTCAGGTGACTCAGGGGATGTCCTGTCCTTTCCTTAAGGTCACTAGTCCAGGTCCTTCGAGGGCGCCCCCTCATTCGTCCACCCTCCGCCTTCCCTTGCAGTGTAGTGTGAGCTAAGGTGCCCTTCGCTCTAGTTACGTGTCCAAACCACTGCAGCTTCCTCTTCTTTACCAGTGACAGGAAACTGGGGAGAGGGCCTGCCAGTGACTTGACTCGCTGCTTAACTTCTTCGTTTGTGGTGTGTGTAGACCAGTGTATCTGAAGTAATCTCCGGTAGCAGTTCATCTCGAAGGCATTAATTCGTTTCGTGATTTCTGCGTTTAACGTCCAAGCCTCCCCCCCCATACAGGAATATTGACAACACTAGAGAACGTAGGAGATAGATTTTGGTTTTTGTTGAGATGTTACTGCTAGCCCAGATGTGCTTGAGTTTTCCTAATACTGAGGTAGACTTGGCAATCCTAATCTTGACCTCTCTGCTAGAGCGGCAGTCCGCTGTCTGTAGGGAACCTAGGTAGCTGAATTCGTTGACTTGCTCAAGGTCAGTGCCTACACGCATAACACGCACGTGCCGATTTTTCACAGTTGCGTCAAGGTGTCCTCCTTTGGAAGTCTTAAGCATTTCGTGCCTGAAAACAAGGTAAGAATGTCTAGTTAGTATATAATCGACACGGTGCCATTATTTAATCAGGCGTTGGAGGGCGTTGCAGGTCACAGGTCAGCGTCATTATGCTAAGAATATGGAGATGTATGGAAGTGCAAGTGTGCAGTATGCAAGATTTTAGCTAATGAGCTAATTAACGAAATACAATCGAATATGCTACTGTATTCATCACCAACGATCGAATACAGTAGCATATTTGATTGTATTTCGTTAATTAGCTCATTAGCTAAATAGATGTCGAGATTGACATATTCAACTATCTGACGATTATCACTGACGAATAATGATAATGATAATATTATTGGTATTGAATTATTGGTAACGATCGTTTACGGTTTGCAGGTACTTTGCATGTGAAGATGGTGACGTCCTTTCCTAAGATTATCCTTAGCATAATGACGGTAACCTCGGACCTACCCCGCTGTGCACCGCCTGAAAAAAAATAATAGCAGCGTGTCGATTATATACTACTTACCTATAAGCCCTGGATAAGAGCTTATCCAGTGCTTTTATCCAGGGCCTTTCTGTGTCCCTCAGATCATGCCTTCGCCCTCATTTGTACCACAATGCATATAGTTACCAGAAAAATTCACAGGCAGAAATTGTAGTTGGCAAGCGGAAACTTATACAGGGTATATTTGATACAGGAATGGGAGTTGGGTTTTTTTAGTTATATGCTGTAGAGGAAGACTGCACTATTTATCTTAAGATCAAAATCGGGTACAAATTTACCCAACATGTACACATAATTACCGGGTAAATTTGTGGTATTTGTGACATATCGAGCCGGATCAGAGCGGAATCAAGCCGAAGTAAAGTCGGATCAGAGCCAAAATATTCGGTTCAATCCGGACAATTTTAGATAGAGGGAATGCCTGGGGTCTAACTGAGTTGTTCTTTCCAGCCAACTGGTGCAGCCAGCAGGTGCATGGACTGCCAGGTGGAGGACTCCTGTCCTTATTCGGCAAAAAAGATCTACCTAGAGCGGGCGAAACAGGTGACGTTGTACTGTATCGTCAGGGGTGATATTCTTAAAATGTGAACAAGATTATCAAAAATAACACTTACAATTCAGAAATTCAGAATGCATTTAGTTCTTTTCATATTTATTATATAGTTTAATAGTTTAGTATATATATAAATATTTATAAAATTTGTTACACATAGACTCCAGTAATTCAAAAAAGTTTTTCTGGATATAGAGCTCTATGCACACTTTTCTCTCTCTCTTGTCTACAACAGGGCTGTACCGGCTTCCCAGTCAGCGTGGTGTGTCTCCAGGAGCCGGTGGATGTAGAAAATCTGACCGAGGCACTGAGAACTGGGCCGTACGGACGCTGTGTGTACGAGTGTGACAACGACGTTGTTTCCAATCAGGTGAATTTTCTTTCGAACTAACTTCTATTAATTGCTCAGTTTGTAATCTGTGGTTTTGTTTTAGCCAATACAATATCGTGTGTTTATTTTTTCTTACCGACCAAAAACATTAAAGAGTTTCTCGCACTGCGTACCAGTCACACCTGCCTTAAGTGCACAGTGAACCAGTCATTATAGCCTGATGAACATGGCAGACGGCCATCGAAACATTGCTTCTTATAAACAAGTGGCTGGAAATGAAGAGCATTGAAAATTTAATTTAATATTCAATTTAATTGTACTACCTCTGGTCTCTACTTCCTGTCAGTCCAGCAGGACTTAATTTTCGGTCTGCGGTTTCAACATCTCCTTAACAACGGACATACAACCAATAAATAAACGAACAGAGGCACCAAATCGTCCGTGCATAGAGGTGACGAAAACGAATTTAAATACTTCTTCTTCGTATTTTTTTTTAGGTCTTGAACTTCCAGTTTGATGGAGGACAGACGGTTTCCTCCAACATGGTGGGCTTCACACAGGAGGTCTGTGAGCGACAGACCAGGATCTCGGGCACCAAGGTGCGATGATGAGATGATATTTGATTTCCTGTTTTTAACAAATTCATGGATTTCCATTTCATTTTATGCAAATGACTCCCCAATTCACATAAGGATCTGTATTTATGGCCGGTATAACCACCCTTCCGCGTAACAAATAACTTCGCAGGCATGCGGTGTGGCAGCAGCTCATTATGTTACACGTTGGGTGTTCATGTTACAAAGAGAAACTTCTCATTATTTACCACTGACGAATTATGACACTATATCCCCCTGCCATAAATAAATCTACATGTCACACGTTACATTGTTCTATTCTTCAGTTATTCTCTTAACGATATGAAACGAAAACGCCTCTGCAGTTCTAGACCAAGGTGTTATATGTCCATAACTTGACATGACACTCGTTGAAGAGTTTCATCAGCCACGTAAAAATAACAGTTAGTAGAAAATTCTTCAATCAGTGACTGTAATTTGTAACGTAAAATCGCGTACCTCCAAATTTTCGGTGTCGACTGTACACTTTGATCACGGAGTGACCTAGGAGTAGGGGTAAATATGACTTGGGCAGCTCCCAACCTTCGTTACGATTCGACCCAGCACGTTCCAACTGTGTGTGGACTGCTTCCTTGATCTTTCGTACGGGATTTTTGGTCATATGATCTTAATGATGTCCAAGGGGGGCCGTTAGTAACCTATGACCCTCTTTTAGTTATGTTGACTAAGTGCGGATTTGCCGACGCCCTGATGACTTTTGATGTTTCTCTGTTCCTTCACCTACATATAGGGACCTTTCGGTTTCACCTACATACACCACACCACACTGTTCACAGGCTATCTTGTAGACGGTACCATACTCCTCACTGGGAAGTAGTGGGTCTTTGGGACTGACAAGGGCATTGTGCAAGGTAAACCCTGGTTTGGAGAACCCACTTAAGATGAGACCGATTGTGTCAGACATTAACTCAATTACGTACCATCTAGCTAGGCACCTGGCTGACGTACTCTAATCCCTGGTGGGACAGTCTGCCGAACACATCAAAAACTCCAACGACCAACGATCTTGTCACCAAGATCCGAGAAATTAAGTTGGAAGATTGGAAAGTACTCACCTCGTTTAAAGTTACGGCTCTGTTCACAAGTGTCCCGGGGCAAGAAGTCGTCCAGATGGCATCAGGACGGCAACTCCGCACTTGAGCCAATACAAGGCCATAGTGTTACTAACGGCCCCATCTTGGACGTGATTAAGATCATAGACCAAAAATCCCGTAAGGCACATAGAAAGATCAAGGAAGCAGTCCACATACAGTTGGAACGTGCCGGGTTTAATCGAAGGTTGGGAGCTGCCCAAGTCCTATATACCCCTACTCCGCAAGGAGGCGGGGGAGGCCAGAAGATCAATTCGATTTGATTTGATTTATTAGACTGTATAAGAATTGTATATACAGCCAGGACTGCCCAACTAGCCGGAGGCTATTATAAAGGGCTAGCCCTCACAACAAGAACATATTAAGATCCACACAAGTCTCCACCTAGTCTCGTGTTCTCGCGAGACTAGGTCACACCGTGATCAAGGTGTACAGCACCGACAATGAAAATTGGAGTTACGTGATTTTGCCTTACAAAATAGTCACTGATTAAAGAATTTTCTACTAATTGACATGACAAGAACACGAAATAATAAAAACGAAAATTCATACAAATGCTAAGCTACAACTGTCATTGTTCATTGAAATTGAACTATCGTATATTGTAGTAATCATGAATAATAATGTCCAGGTCCAGGAGTCTTTTCCGCAGGTAAAACCCATGCTTATTGTATTATTCATCATCACGTGTGTGTACAGGGTGAGCTGCGCTGGTCCAGTCCCGGTCCCGTGTATGTGTTTGACTTCCTGACTCAGACATCCACGGAACATCCCTGTGCAGCAACCTATTACTCATTATTACGTTTATATCCCGTCTGACCAGGGTGAGCTGCGCTGGTCCAGTCCCGGTCCCGTGTATGTGTATGACTTCCTGACTCAGACATCCACGGAACATCCCTGTGCAGCAGCGCCCCCTAACAGGATGCGTGAAATGCATGGCGGTGACTACTTCCTGATGGATGCCTTTGTTAAGGCTGTTCAGGTTAGTGTACGTAACAGTTAATGTGTGAGATAAACAAGAAACAAACATCAGAACCTTACTAATATATGTCGTGATTACTGACGTCTATGGATAAAGCCAAGTTGAGACGTACAGCAACCATCTTTAAACAGTCCTGATCGCTGAAAAATGATCTGGTACATACTTTTTATTTCCAAACTTTAATATTGTAGGCTTTCATATTATAAAATATTATATAAATCCCTGGTACCTTGTATCTATGCAATAATACATTGATGTATTGCCTTGTCCTAAATGGAAATTTTCTTTCAGACCGGTGACCGTTCCTGCGTACTGAGCGGACCACAGGAGACTCTGCAGAGCCACCTGCTGGTGTTTGCTACTGAGCAGGCTCGTCTGCAGGACAGGGTCATTACCATAAACCCTGATGGTTCCTACAGCTGAACTACAGGACAGGGTGATTACCATAAACCCTGACGGTTCTATACCGTTTCTACAGGAATGTTACGATTTTTTTGCTTAAGACATGATAGTTATTAATGGTCATATTTAATTAACGTAGGTTTATTAAAATCCAACCCGTTGGCTTTTCCTATAATACTATATCATCAGCGTCATCTTTTGTTCGCAATATCACTACAATGTTATCTTAAATTTTAACCAAAGCTGGTATTGACATGGATTGTTTCGGAAAACAATGCTTTTATGAAACGGATATAAAGAGTAAAAATCTGTACTTACTTTGATATTAAAAAAAAGAAGTTGACAGAAGTATGCTTCAACAGCTGTAGACAAATGGAGGATAAAGCAACATTTAAACCGTTTCAACGCTGCATCCGGATTGTGCTAGTTACCATTAAACTTCGCATAATATGTGTGTAATATTGTATTCAATTGTAACCACGTAAGACGACACGAAAACCTACGGATCTTATGAAAAACGCACTAAGCACAATGCAAACTGATGAAGAAATATAAACTTCACCGATGTCTTAAATATAGGAAATACGATCATTAACTTTGCGTAAGCGCAGTTTCGAAAGCCTAAAAATACCCCAGGATTTGTAGTTATATATAGCGAAAGGAACCGTTGCTACGGGAGAGGTAATAACCACACGGAAAAAATAATGGCTGTGTTTTTTTTTCATTTGATCAGGAGACCGACGTGTGAAAAAAAATAAAGCTGGTAATTTCATGAAATATCCGTTGACTTCTTTCTTTCCTGTGTAATCTATGATAGAAGGAGTATTAACTGAATTAACCTCTGAGGAAAATACAAGATTATCTTTGAGGTTTTATCAATAAAAAAATTGAGTGAATGTCACTCGGTACCCGGTACTATAGTATGGAGGGAAATAAATATGTAAAACCCAAGTCCTAAATCCTGGAAAACTTGCTTAACGACATGCAAATACTTTTTCTCTAGCTGCTGTCACTTAAGTCTGACGGGATTCCATATTATAGTAGGAAGTGAAATATTGTTTTTCCTCATGTTTCTCCTTCTCCTCCTCCTCCTGTCATTTCTTTAAGGTGATTCAACTCCTTAATTCATTTTTTGGCGAAATGATTTGGAATTTGGATTCAAGTTGGCAGCCGCTTTTGTCTGAGTGTCCATCATCGTAAATTTCTTTCAAACTCAATACAACAAGGACTTGCCATCAAAAAACCTACATCGACATCGCATCGTAAATTGGAGATCCTGTATGACTGTTTGAGATCGAAAAATTGGATAATCAACTTTTCTTGAAGACGAAATTTGAAGAAGCGTCGTTTCCAGAGTGACACCATAGAGATACGACAAAGGACGAAGCCATTATCACTCAGCAGTCTTCGAAGTCGAATCACCGCAGCGGGCTCCCTCAGTGGAGCCCCCGCCGGTAGGTCTCCCATAAACGCTACAGATTCTGTTCTTACAGTTTCGGCTGTTTCTTGTGTCATTTTTGGTGACGTCTCAGGGAGGAGCCTAATGGTACAGTATTGTGTGCAGTTTGCAAGAATTTTAGGAATGGTACAGGCATTTTTTCCAGAGGAATGGAATGTCCACAGGCATATCTATGACCCACATCTATGCCCACATTCCTGGAAACCCTTGGGAAGACCTCTCTGCCCCAAATGGCCCTACTTTCTGTGACCCAGGGGCTCGTTCACTATACACTCAGGGGAGGAGTGCACTGTATCTGTCTAGACTTAACAGGTACCAAGTCTTCCTCAAAATCTGAATTGATGGCAGTGCCATGAAACAATAACCCTAACAGCAACCACCGTCGCCATGGTAGTGTATGTTTTCATTGCCAGTCTTCTTAATCTTCCACTTGGTTGCCGCGCTTTGTTATTATTGTTTCAGTGCACCCCCCTCCCAATGACAATCCAAGATGTCTAGGAGGAAGGGTGGTAACCAAGACGATGCGGAGCTTGTCTCTATGACTACACTAAAAGAACTACTGGACAATCAAAAGGAAGTCTTCAACGGCTTGATCGAATTACAGCAGAAGAATTTTAGATCTTTCATGGAGTCAACAATGGAATGCCACAACAAAAGATTTGACAACCTCATACGAGAGGTCCAAGAAATCAAGGTCACTCACCAGTACACACAAAAAGACATTGAAGTCATTCAAGCTAATACACGCCAACAAGAGAAAAGTATCAAAGAGATCGAATCAAAGATAATGCAACTGAAGGCGGATGCAACAAAACAGACTATCTAGAAAATCAGTCACGGCGTAACAACATCTTGATCGATGGTATAACCGACGTCAAGGACGAATCATGGGAAGAATGTGAACAGAAGGTGAGAAGCCTCTTCAAAGAAAAACTGCAGCTAGATCCAAAAGAAATCGAACGGGCCCACAGAAATGGGTGCTTCCAACTTGACGCACGCCCACGGTCAATTGTGGCTAAGTTACTGAGGTTCAAAGATAAAGAGGCCATCATTCAACGTGTCAGGTATCTAAAGGGAAATAACAAAAACGAAGACTTTTCTGAGGCAATTATACAGAAAAGAAAGGAACTTATCCTAGAAATGAAGGCCGCCAGACGTTATTTACGTCTTGTGACTCGCCTCTTACCGAGGTGTGATGCCACCCCTATTCAAACTCCAAACCCAACTCACACTTACACACACGTGTGAAAGTCCGTCTATTGTTGTTTGTGACAAGCAGTCTTTCGTTTGTTTACATCTACAGCCAGCTGTCATGGCAGAGCTGGGAAATGGAGCAGGAGTTGGCCAGGTGTCCACTGTGGTCAGCAACATGTGGAGAAAGCTACCTGCTGACAGGCGAAATGTTTGTCTAAAAACTATATAATATATGTAATATATCTCTACCTTTTTCAAACCTATTACCATATTGAACTGCCATACTTTGTAATTCATTGGTTTCACAACTTTATTGTGCAACAGTTGTACAGGGTACAAAGTATGGCATCTACTACACAGTTTCCATAGATATGTCTGCATTCTTTCTATTGAGGCCATTCTGTTGAGGCCTTTGCTAAAACATGTGATAGTGAATGTGTTTTGTAAAGCTTATCAGTCTCACATGGGGTATTCAGCTTCACAGTAAGATCGAGTTTTTTTAATGTCCATGGTAAGATCAATATAAACTGCACCCTTCTTCCCCCAACAATCCCCATTTATAATAATGACTGTTTCACTGCTCGTTTATTCATGTAACTTTCAACTAGCCCTTAGGCAGGAACTTGCAACAAGCTTATTATTATTATTGGAAACATGTTGTATTTGCTCTGTTTCCTCTTCCAACTCCTCTTCTTCTCCAAACACCCAATTAACATCGATATTTTCGTAATTAGAGCCTGGAGGATAATGAAATTCAGCATGCTGGTAGGTTGGTACATAAGACACTCAACCGCGGTGGCCAACATAGATGTCAACAAATGATTTTATTTGAAAAAAAAAATGGGCGAAAAAAGTTGCATTTTAAGCCAAAAATCGAACAAAAAGAACACGTTTGGAACATTCGAACAACCATGGAACAGCGTGTTGATAACCGCGGGTCAATGACCCCATCCTACAGCCGAGATTTCCAAATATGGGCATCCGCCCTCGTATGACACGAGAAGAGGGACCGGTGGACCAATGTCTGTGGTACGTTTTCCTTTTCCTTCGTAGAAATACAGCCATATGAATACCAGTCTCGAGTAGAAAATATTGCATTGGGGTTTGGGGTTCAATATCCACAAGTAGGACTGCATATTTCCACAAAACGCCAGCGACTTTGTTTATGTAACTTTTTAATTGCATGTCACCGCCGGCTCAAGTTAAAAATAAAAAAAAACACTCGTATTCTTTACGAGTCGTAATTTACTAGCTCCGGACTTGATAGAATCTCGTATGTATAGCGATTTAGGCTTGTTGCCGTTTTGAAAATAAAGTAAACAGAATTGTGTTCATCCGTAACTATTGTCAACTTTGTAATATAGGTGCGGGGCCGGGGGAGGGGGGCGTTTGTTTACGTTTATCACTCATGGTATAACATGGATATAACCAAGGACATTATACTCTTTGTATAATGTCATTCATATAAAATTGCATTTTGTCGTTTTATCAGGCAGTAATTTTTTTCGGGATAATACAGTACAGTTCATGGGATAAGCATCAAATCGGGATTCATCGGGATGGCCCGCGGGATTTTTCCCGAACCACGTTGACTAAGATTTTTACAGACAGACGGTGCAGCGCATGTTTGTTTCCAATGCATGATAACAATAGCACAAACGAATAGTGTTTTTAATCAAATGTTTTTTTTAATATCGAAAATTTTAGTGGCTTAATAATGTTTAGAACGATAACAAAATAATACAACCTTCTTGGTACGAGAATTTCTGTCTGACCTTGCGATGTGGACGGCCCGCTAAGTACTGCTTTTGATGTCACCCGATCCGCGCTATCTCAGATATAAAATCTAACATGTCCACGTCCCATGTCGTCGCTCGAGAAGTTTTTTCTCCTAGATAGGGGAGGTATACGCACGGAGTTGCGGAAGAGAGATAAAACATTAGACAAAAGAGGGGGGCGAAGCATAATTCAAAGGTTCTTTACGACTCTTGGCTTTGTTTATGACGATCAAGAATTGATACATTTCGTGTTGCTGTGGCTGGGCAACGTTGCCATAGAGAAACGGCACGCACGCATGCAGCATAGCTAGCAGACCGCGCGGCACCCAATCACATCGCACAGACGGGGACCCGCCCACTGGCTGGGCGGCAAGATTTCAAACTCAAAGGCTCCGCCCCAGAGACTCCGGTCGCCTGACGTATTGTAGCGATTTTCCGCCTCAGCCCTGCACGCGGCATTGTATTTTTCTCATCCCGATTTCATTCCAAAACGTTTTTGACAAGTGACATCGAGAACTAGAATGCTTTTTCCACAGGAAAAATAGTTTTCGAGGGCCGGCTGGATGTTGGGCGGCCGGCAAAAGCGATTTAATAAGGCTAGGGGTTATTTATGTGTAACGTTACGTGTTTGGGGAGGGGTGAGGCACATGCCCCGATATTTTAATGGGCAAACTTTTCTAATTTTCGTAATACAGAGACTACTTGACGCAGTCTGCTCACGAGCAGATGAGAATACTTCAACAAGCCAGTTTAGTACAAGATGTCACAATGAAACAAAACATACAACTCCAGCCGGTACGCCCCATTTTATTTCATGGTTATATTATAAACTTGACAGATTCATTGTTTATAAACTTGCCGAAAAATACTTATTCACTGGAGACGAAGGGGTTATTAAAAATTCTTTCCTGCTATTTTCTCACAGTTTTCGTGAGTTTTTCGCTGCACAAGAGCTTTGTAAAATTTAGCAGTTCAACTATGACCGTGTGAGGAACGCGTTATACACAATATACACAATTATGGCAAAGTTGACTGACGTCAGGGTGCTCCACTGGCCCTGCCCAGATCGCCCGACAGGACGTAAAAATAAACAGTTGGCACGCCGCCATCGGTGACAGGACCCGCGGTAGACTTGTAGATCTCGCATCAAGTTTTTTTCGCTCCGCTGTACGCAAGACACGCGGATATCTCGCGGGATTTATCGGCTTATCCCGAAAAATTCCGCAGCCCGATTATGCATATCCCGTGAAGTTAGCTCTCTAAACATTATAAGGATAATTGCCTATAGGGATTTGACAGAAGAAATAAGTGTTGGGGCTTCAATGTATATGAAGAAATATGTGAACGTCTGGTTTCACAAAGTTTGTAACGTGAGTCTTATGTTTGCGTTGTAATTCTTTCATTGCATACAGACAACAGTGTTCTCTGTATTAAACAAATTGGTCTGCTGTAAAATTTTGATATATATCATATACCCCCTTTGACATATATTATATACCCTGTTGGACCCCGCCTGATATAGTATAATATACATTTGTATACATATGTATTATGCTTTCCTTTCGTGGTTCAATGACTTAGACATATATTATCAGTTTCTGCTCACTTTTGAAACGCTTACTCTCCTGTTTGTATCCTCTAGATTGGACCTCTGCTAGGAAAGGAAGCAGAACTTGGTCCATGAGAAACTGGGTAGGAACCTAACAGAGCTGAACCCAGCCATCCACAGAATGATACAACACATCACATTTCTAGAAACACATTAATCTCCAATTTGGCCACTAAATATCCATTATGTATGTTAAGTTGCATAATATATGTAAGTCATGTATAGCTTTTTAAGTATGTATGTATGGTTTTATAGAGCGTGTAGTTCCAATATTTTACAGAACTGTAGATTTTCATTATCATTGATTTCATACGAAATTTCAAAGAACACTAATTATAAAAGTGGGTAAATTCACTGGCTCGGCGATCAAAAGAACAAGTAAAACCAAACTGGCTTGATATACATCTTATGCACTGTAGTATAAAGTGTAAAGTTTACTATAGAAATTAATTATTCATATCATTTTATATCCTTTCATCATATGTATATGATATACGTACTTACAATTAGCCTTTTGTCATGTATTTGTAATAATAATAAACTTATCATCATTATTATTTCAGCCTATGTCCTATTTACAAAAATGTAATAAGGTTGTGAGACGAGCGCAACAAAGGTCTTTGTAATTAAAGCTGTCGAGAAGACTCGAAGTTTACTTGGAGTCTTCAGAGTATGTCATTAATTAAATTTACGTGCTGTGGCCTAATTTCAAACATGGTAAGAGGGTGTGCTGAGTGAATCATTGGTACTGTGGTATGTAATGTTACATATATCTCCTATACATGACACTACAAGACTAGTCTATGGTAATGATTTTTGATTTTAAAATTCATCCTTGGCCTTACAGGCTAAGGCAAAACATTCAAATCCCCCAGTTATAACGCTAATGTTACTCTATAATAGCAGTACATAAAAGTCAGTAATATAAGCAAAATATCTTTCTACCCATCCTTTCCCAATAAAGGTATAACGTTAAATCGTAGGCAAGACCATCCTGAGATAAACATATTGCATTTGCTTGCAAATGTTACCTTTCTAGTTTAGTATTGTATTCCATGTAATTTTATTGATTTTATGCTATTATTTTTTTTCTAAATGCTTCTGTAACGTTCGAATTTCTGAAGTTAAGTAGTTAGATAGTTAGTTGGTAAAGGTTAACTTCTGTACAAATTCGAATTTCTCAAATTAAGTTAGTTAGTTAGTTAAGTTAATGATGCGGGAGCATCATTACGTGTGGTGGGGGATGGTGTAACAGGCCAATTACTGCGTTAGGCGGTCTGGGACCACGTGGTGAGAGCACGTGACCCAGACGCGTCATTGGCTTAAGCCTGACCACGCCTCCGCCATGCAGATGTCGCCCCGCCTTCCGCGTGTACTATATAGTAGCGGAACGCACCCGAAATCGCTCTCTCTGCTGCTGTCTGCTTCCCGTCTTCAGTTCCCGCACCGGTTAGCTAGGTTAGTAGTTTAGTTAAGTAGTTTCCAAGCTTCCCATCTTCTGTACAGGTATTTCCTTTCGTTGCCTTTGCTCACTTTAGTACTTGGTTTAACTTTGTATCTGTAGTTCCGTTATGTGTTGCATTGCTTTGTATCGTATACCACAGTTAGTCAATAAAGTCACATCAAATATAAATCGACCTGGCTTTGGCGTGACTTAGAGTGAGAGTCTAGTAACTAGTTCCTTAGAGTGAGAGTCTAAGGATTTGTAACTTTAACCGTAATCGTATCTGTAATCGTAACTTTAGCCCAAATCCTAACCACACAGAAAGAACGTTTGTTACACCAGATTGACCATTCCTGGTGAACTTTGACATTCAAGCGCGATGGCGGTCAGCAAGTGTACTTACCGTTACCTGGGCGGTAGTGGACTCAAAGTGTCCAACTTATGCCTTGGAGCCATGACTTTTGGAGAACATCAGGTATGTAAACCATTGTTCAGGATGTACTATTTCATGCAAAGTATAGAATGATTGAGAAATCATATCAACATGGCACGTATGTGGTGCCACTAGCAGTAAAAATCTGTAACGTTTAAAGGAGCGTGACATGAGCAAAACCTTGTATCAAAGTTCAAGGCCGCCTGAGGCCTATTTTTACCGACGTGTTCAATGAGAGTTGTCTACGCAAGAAGAACATTATGGGAAACTTCGTGTGTGTGTGTGTGTGTGTGTAACATAATGTACTTTAGAGGTATAATATCAAACGATATAACACGACACGTTGCTATACGCCATGGTGAAGGAACTTTCACGGTGTTTTCTTCTTTCGTCATTGGTTTTGTTACGACTTCATGGAAACATTGTTTTCTCTGGTGTTTCTCCTTCTCCTGCCATTTCTTCTAATGGATTCAATTTCTTAATTTTTTGGGGCCAAATGACTTGAAATTTGGCATAAGGTAGTGTCCAAATACCCCCGGCGTTTTTTTTCTTCATTTTATACATACTTTTAAATTGTTATATATATTTTTTTTTTTGGGGGGGGGGCATTTTCAGACAGAAAAAGTACATTTTGAAATCTGGAGCCCTGGTATTAAATCCATATGGCCTGAAATGCGGTATGGGGATACCTTGGATACATGTCCAAAGTATGTCATTCACTGTTTTGACATACACTACTTTAAAATTGTGTAAAACAATGATCCAATGCTCACGGAGTCACGTGTGTTATCTGCGTGACGTCATGGAAGCGGTGGATCGATCATTCCCTGACAAAGACTAGAGTTGTGCAGTTGAAAAGTTGAGTCCAATTTTGTTGTGTTGGCAATTACAGTAGCCCACACTTTTAATGCCTGTACAGGATGGGATACCAGGGCACTGTGACGAGGCTACAGCGCATGTCATCATGGACAGGTTCGCTGAGCTGGGAGGGAACTTCATAGACACAGCCGACATCTATCAGTACGGAGTGTCTGAGGAATATGTGGGCAGCTGGCTATCCATGTGAGATATTTTTGATGAAGCCAACAATTCTACCCTAACTTCGACACGTTTACAGCGTTGTAAACTTGGTTTTCCTTGCAATTTTCCATACTCATATTTTGAAAAACATCAAACCACACCAAAGGCTGTAATACTGTGTCGCACACAAGTGTCAACATGCTACTTAACGTTGTAAATCCCAATACGAAAATGAAATATCTATCCATGTAATAATAATCTAATGTGTTTAGGAAAGAGCGGGAGAAATTTGTCATTGCCACAAAGGTGTGTGCACCCATGGACCCTACATACAAGGACCCAAACCAGCTAGGACTGAGCAGGCATCACATTATGGACTCTATTGACAAAAGTCTGAAAAGGCTTCAGACAGATTATGTGGATCTCTACCAGGTGTGCATTGCTTGAAAAAATTAACCAAGTTTTTGTTTTATTTTTGCTTCAGAAAAAATGAAAGAAAATGCACTAAGGCATACTGTGTGCATTGCAGTGACCAACAAATCACAAAATTAAGGAACTATAGGGGTATAAAAGAATAAAAAAGAAACAGGTTGTTGTTAAGTAAAGAAATCAAGTTGATATCAAGTGAAAATCATGCTGTCATGATACTTAAACTTATTAATATTATTTTGAAATGTTTTAGTACTGTATGTCACCATGTTTTACTGCATACGTATACAGGAGAATTATCCCTGAATGTCTGCATTTCTACCCCAGATCCATCGTTGGGATGATGGTACGCCCATAGAGGAGACCATGAGAGCCCTGAATGACCTGGTGCGAGCTGGGAAGGTGCGTTACATCGGTGCGAGTAACGTGACAGGCTGGCAGCTACAGAAGATCGTGGAGCTTGGAAGGACCATGGGGCTGAACAAATGGATCACTCTGCAGGTAAGTTGTCCTCTGAATCTGAATGGGTGACTTGTAGTTGTAGGAACTTCGAAGGGTTCTCTTCTTCGTAAACTCCGAAGAGAACTAAGTTTCCTGTCTATTCACAGACTGGACAGACACAAGGGTAGGGTAGTCGTGCGCACGACACGGTTGAGTGTTTATTTATATGGAACAGGTGTAGCCGAACATGGGTAACGGGGTATAATATGAAGATATCAAAAGGTACAAGTGACCAGGCACTGGGTAAAGACTGTTCACATTATTGACAGTTTACATTATGTGGTCCGAGTGAGGAACAATAGGGTAGATAAACAGTTTACATTATCTGGTCCGAGTGAGGAACAAAAAGGTAGATAAACAGTTTATATTATCTGGTCCGGGTGACGAACAATAAGGTCGGTAACAGTTTACATTATATGATCCGGGTGACGAACAACAAGGTAGGTAAACAGTTACATATCTGGTTCGGGTGACGAACAAAGGTAGATAAACAGTTATAGAACTCTAGGGCAAGGAAAACGGGCGACCGGGTTAGTGCGGCACAGGGGTTGGGCGGGGAGGGTACTCAACCGCTCACTATGAAGTGGCGACGACGAATGAGGATGAGTCGTAGGGTAGGTAGGGGGTAGGAAGTGAGGACCAATAGGAGAGGGTTACGGATGAGGGAAGATCCGTCCAATTTGTGAGCCGACAGGAAACGTGATTTCTCATCGGGATTTTGTCACAGCACATAGGGGTCAGGTAGAAAAAGGTATTATTATTTTCATTGAAAGGAGTGATTAGATATTCAAAGACCCACAGATCTACACTCATTACTTGTAAGAGAAAAGAGACCTCTTCACCTGAGTGTGCCCCCCCCCCCCCATGTAAAGTGGCATCGGGTGGCGTAGTGGTAGAGTGTTCGAAACGGGGAGACCCGGGTTAGATCCCGAGTTGTACCCGGGACATGTACAGGACATGCGCCCCGACGTTGTGTCCATGGGAAAGGCACTTTACACGACTTTCCTCACTCCACCCAGGTGTGAATAGGTACCTAACTTCGATTGGGGAAAGTCATAGTGAGGTCACCTGCTGGTGCTGAATGGCTGCCGCACAGACCCTTGCAACAGTTCCACAAAAAGCGTGTCGAGCAAATATGTTATACGTATCATGGGTATTATGTCATTGTTTGTGATTATTGATTGATTCGTATGTGGTTGTAAACCAATTGTAAACCCTGCATCAATTCAGCGTTATAAAAAGTTCGACAATTGCATATGGGTACTGTTTGACAGATAAACCATTTATTATAATTATTATGCAGGCCCAGTACAGCCTGCTCTGCAGGTATACTGAGTGGGAGTTGGTGGAGATTTGCAGGAGGGAGGGACTGGGCTTGTTGCCATGGAGCCCACTTAAAGGGTCTGTCAACTTTATTGGAATTATTCACTGCAAACTGCAAATCCTAATTATAAGAACTAGCAAGGTAGCGTTTGCAAGGTAAATGCATAATGTTTACATTTGCATGGTCAGCTCTGTTAATTCTTCCTCAAACACATTCATATAAATGGTCAGACAGGAGTCTAAATCCCCTCCTACTATAAAATTGCAACATGATGTAACACAACACTAGTTACTATGGTGACAGACGTCTGGTTCAGGTCATTGACCTTTTTGGTTTGGAGAAGAAGAGAGAACAGCAAAAACAATATGTTTTCCTTTGGTAACATAAAAAAAAAAAGAAAAAAAAAACACTGGACTACACATAAAAATACATTTGTATAGAAACACTCAACTAATTGCTAACAAAGCTAACTCCTAAAATCCAAACCTTTTTTTTTAACAGAGGAAGATAAAAATCCCACATTTCTGTAATGGGCTTTCAGATGAAAGGGTAGATTTATTTTCATCTGTAAATGTGTTCAAATTTTTATGAAGGGAAGAATTTGTTTGCCATATCAAAAGAGCTCACTTGCTTCATGGCGAGTGTAAAGTACAGTTTCAAATGAAATGTGTTTCTTCTTCTTAAAGTCCACATTAATACTTTTCTGCACAACACTACAGACTACAGATTCCTGTTTTAGAGTCGAATTTTCTGTGAATGGGTAATACCTTAGAAACTCTATGTTGCATGTATGTTAGAGCTCATGTATGTCAAAGGTTCATGAACATAATTGACACAATACAAGTCTCTTCAGAAACTAAACAAAACAAGAATTCGGAGATCTCATACCTCCATGAAATATATGAGTTTTTATTACCTTCGCCGAGAAGGTTCAGTAGCGTTTGTCCGTCTGTCTGTGAACAGCATAACTCAAGAAAATTTATAAGCATTGTCATTAAATTTGGTATGTGGGTAGGTCTTGGATAAACCTAGAAATGATTTTGGGTCCCCGGCGGCTTTTGTTGTTACTGCAGCAGATCGTGATCTGGACATGCTAATGTCACGAGTTGTGAATGATAGATAGCTCTTGGGCTAAGGAAGAAGTGACATGAGTTTGGGCCCCCTAGCGGCTTATTCTTGAACTGCAGGAGTGTTTCTTGAAAAATCTCCAAAGGGGGATAACTCAAGAACCGGTAGACGGATTGTCATGATTTTTGGTATGTCGGTAACTGAAGTGATGCTGGACATAATCAGATCAGATCTATCAGGACCTAATTTGCATAATTGATGAGGAAGTTCCATAAATCTGCTTTGTTTGATAATAGGACTATGAAACTCTTGTGACATGGAAGAACGAGAAAATTATCTGAGGATTTAGATTATGTGAATGAAGACCTAATTTGCATAATTATAGGCAAATTCTTATGATTTCATAGTTGTAACTACTGTAAATTTTATACTTGCTGCATTTGGAAGTCAATTGAAGGTGATCAGCAATAAACATAATTTATTCCAATCATAACCTCATTTGCATAATTCATGAGGAAGTGCTAGAATAGCCTTTATTAAGATAAGGCTGTCATTGGATGGAGAATATGATCAATTGATGTAATCCATGCAAATGAGGTTCTTATTTGCGAAATCAATTATCAAAATTGTATAATTCCTCAACCGGAAGGGTTAACATCATTTGGCGAAGGTATGAGATCATTTAAGTATTGTTTGTAAATGTTTTTCATTTGTCTCATTGACTATGGAAATAAGGCTGTAATTACCATAATCTACTTTAGTTTATGGTTTTCTAAATTCAAATTACAATACATTTTGTGCAAAATTTCTCTCCTTTGTCAATAGTTTATTGCAACATGACCTCTACATTAGCATGATATATGTATATTGATGTTAAACTTTAAGTAACTTACAAGGACACGCACAGACACACACACACACACACACACACACACACACACACACACACATACACAGACACGCCAAAAACAATATCTCCATTTTTCAAATTATGAAAAATAACTACTAGTAAATCCTGTTGAATCCTACACCTTAACCCTGCAGAGGTTGGCTGACTGGAAAGTTCACGTGTGACATGACGGCCGCTCCTGCTGACACACGGGTGGGCTGGGCCTCGGAGAAGGAGGGACGGAAGTCGCAGGCTGCCCCTGACTTCCAGCAGTATGCTCACAATGAGAAGTTCTGGGCCCTGGACAAAGTCTTAAAACGTGTGGCAAAGGAGCAAGGTACAGAACTTCATACTATTAGAGTTATTATATTTACCAAAAGAAAATGTTGTTTTTGCAACGTTTCTTCTTCTTCTTCAGTTCCAAACACTGACTCTGACCTGGCCAATGATCTGCATGATTTGTTGACATCTGTCACCATGGGAACTGGTGTTGGGTTACATAATGTTGCAATCTTTTAAAGTAGGAGGGATTTAGACTCCTGTCTGACCACGTGAATGTGTTTGATTAAGAAATAACAGAGCAGACCATATGCAAAGGTAAACTACTCTCCACGCAAAGGTTGTAGGGGAATGTTCGTTTAGCTTTTTATGGCCGTTTTTTTTGTCGCTAGCAGAAGATGTGGGGGAATGATCATTTTTTATTGTTTTGCTTTTTATATATGGCCGTTTTTTTCCCTACCCCCTCCGGCGACCTTTTCTGGCTAATGGATACTGCCTGGCCAAATTGACACTGTCTTTTGGCCACCAAAAGGGATCTGCTTGGAGATTAAAAGTAAACATCATGCACTTGCTTTGCAAATGTTACTTTCTAGTATTAAATATCATATTCTCTGTCAATCAATCAATCAATAAAACAATCAATCAATCAACCTGTGTGAGAGCCCGGATGTACCTTGAATTTCGCTGCCAAATAAATGGGATAATAAAACTAGTGTATGTGTTGATGAGTGAACATAATTTGAATTATAAGCTATATGATTGTACTCTAACGGTATAATTGTGTATCCAGAACTATTTTTTTTCAATTCTACGTGTACAATGTCAAAAGCGAAATACCTCCAAGTAGATCTGTGAGTATGACTATGATGAAATTCAATTACTACCACATATACATATTATATATTGTCTACTGTATACAGTGTCCTTGATTCAGTTCAAGTTTCATTCCATCTTTTAGTTACTGTAGTAATGTTTAATATATCTCTGACTTTCCTTGCTCTTGGTCCATTTCTTGTGTGTGCACCTTCTTATTACTACTTAGTAGTTTTTAATCATGACCACTCAGTGTGTATAATGTGTGATATTTTATGACATTGTATTGTATAGTTTTCTCATGTCTAATATTTTTTTAGTAATTTGTACTTTATTTTAATAATGTTTGATATTATAATCGGTTTGATTGATATTGTATTGTTCTGCATTTATATTGTAGTGTTTGGGAGGGCAGCTTGTAAACTTGTCTATACACAGGTGTTTTGCCCGCCCTTCCACTTGACAAGTATATTTGTACAACATGTACTTGTGGTAAATTCAAATAAACAAATAACCTAGAAAGGTCTACTAGTAACACTTGCAGAGCAAATGCATAATGTTTACCTTTGCATATGGTCTGCTCTAGTAATTCTTACTCAAACACAGACAGGGGTCTAAATCCCTCCTGCTATAAAATTGCAACATTATGTAACCTAACACCAGTTACCATGGTGACAGATTGTCTGATTCAGGTCATTGACCGTGTCAGAGTTTGGAGAAGAAGAAGAGGACACGTAGCAAAGACAATATGCTTTACTTCGATAAACATAAGTAATATCCTGCACCTGAGGTTGAACAGGTGTTTGAGTTTGATCTCCCCTTCCAGGTAAAAAACAGTGCAATGGCCAAGTGGGTAGAGTGCTTGCCTTGCATTCAGTAGGTTGTGAGTTTGATCCACGGCCGAGCCATACCAAAGACTTCAAAAATGGTACATGCTGCTTTCTCTGCTTAGAACTCAGCATTTGAGATGTATACACACACCACTACCTGTGGATTAGCACGGCCCTGCTGTAGTGACAACCGTGTGGTCTAAGGGCTACAGCAGAAACAGGGATGGGCACCTCCATATGCTAATGGTTGTGGTGTGGATTTTTTTAACAGGTAAGAGTGTAGCCCAGGTGTCTCTCCGCTGGCTGCTGCAGAAGGACACGGTGTCGTCTGTCATCATCGGGGCGAAAACTCTGCAGCAGCTGGAGGACAACATGGGGGCTGCAGCTGGCTGGGAGCTTACACAGCAGCAGGTTAGGGAGTGTACACATACATTTGGTACAGTGTAGCGCTAACTGACCCAGTCCAATGGGTCCTGGTCTCCTGGACCTTTTGGCATAACAGTCAGCGCACTGGTGTTGTAAGCTGGCTGTCCGAGTTTGGCAGACCAGAGTAATCATAAGAAATCAAAAGAAACTTACACAATTCCTGTAAGTTGGGACATGTACTGAGTGTCTGTATGTTGTGATGAGCAGATGGCTGACCTGGATGCGGCCAGTGCTGTGGAGATCCCCTACCCGTACGAGCAGGTCTGGAGGGCCAACAAGGCACAAGGCAGAGAGAGGCCTTAGAACGGACAAGGCCTAGGAAATAAAATGTTGTGTTTCCCGTTTGCCGACTGACCCTAGAAAAAAATGCAAAAACTAGACTTTTTTGGGGTGGGCCCCTGCAAGGGACATAAATATATACAATTTTCCAGTTGATCAACCTTTTCTAGCTCCATGATCTGACATCTGATTGGTATAATGTTGTACAATTAGTTTTCCAACATTGACATTGAAAATACCAGTGTCCTCATGCAAGTTTTACTTGTTAAACTGTATCGTATAAGTTCGATCAGTAGAGATTGACAAAGTCTAATAAAGAAAAGAAAGGAAAAAAAAAAAAGAAAATCCCTACCTTCCGACCCTAATTTTTTTCAGGTCTGAAACAGGAAACACAACATGTTTCTTCTTAGGCCCATTACAACTTCCAGACCTGCGCTGTGTTGTCTGGATCAAAGGGACCACTGAGTGACCAAAATTGGATTTAGATTAACAATAATTAGACAGTCCGTCTGTTTTGAATAGATTATGATGGCATGATAATATTGAGGTAAAACTTTTGTTCCAACACAAAAGGGAAATATTCGAAAGGCCTGATATATAAAGATGCCAAATAATTAGCAGCATCTAGAGTGCAGGGTGTCTGTTTTCTCCCAAATTCTCAAAAATGTTTTTGTGATTTAGCTATATCGATATCATTTCACATCTCTTGAAGTAATGCTTCACTAAATTTACATAAAAATCCCATTTGTAACCCTGGCTGTTACAAGCACTTGGAATCTGTTTCTTGTAAAACATCCTATTTCAAGTTTAATCTAGTTTAATAGAGCAATCATGGGACCAGGGGTAAATTTAAAGGAAATGTGGCGACATGGGATGCTTGTGTGTAAAATTAGATAAATATTGTATTCAAAAAGGATGTGCAAAGTAGACATTAATAAGGAAATTCAAAGTTGACGTAACTCATGAAAGATGTTTATTGATTGATTATGTTACCCCATATCTATAAAAATGATCAGATCATAAACAATATGTAAGGAATCAAGTAGTGATATGTATCTGATGTTATTTCAAATATATTACACATACATCTACATTGTATGTTAAATAATAATTATTATTGTTCATTGCACATTGAATGAATACATTGTGTCATTAGTGAGATAGCTGCCACAGTGTTGTGTTTCTTGCATCACCCAAAAACTAAAACTGTGGCCTCACTTCTTTTTAAGTACTTTGAATAATAACGATACACGTTCTAAACTGAGCGATTTCTGCCAGAAAAAATTACTTCAGCGGAAAACGCCGTTACAAGTTTTACAGAAATTCTACTGGAGGTTTCAAAAAGATCTTTAAAGATAAAACGTTTTATCTTTAAAGATCTTTAAAGAATTGGAATCTTTGAATGAGAAAAACCCTTAAGAATTTTGGTCATTACTAAATTACCTAGACACGGAAGTAAACGGAAAAAACAATATGGGCTCTGTATAGATCCCACCATTACAGCTGAACAACGGATAAAACATTTCCAAAACTTAAACAACCTAGTGAGAAATACGAGTTTTGACACTGCCTTTGTAAAAACGGTCTTTGATCATTTGGAATATTCACACGACTGCACGCCAAATTTATTAGACTTTCATTTCACCCCACAAGAAGTTTTAAACGGTTTAAGATCACTGAAATCTGGGAAAGCATGCGGCATAGACTCCATTTCAAATGAGATGCTAAACCATGGGTCAGCACAGCTATGCCAGTCACTGGTAACATTATTCAATACAATTCTATCAAACGGCAAGTTTCCATCTAATTGGTATACAAGTATTCTCACTCCAATTTAATTTTCAAATCAGGCGACTAATCTAATGCTGACAACTACAGAGGAATCGCCATCTCAAGCTGTTTATCAAAATTATTTACTCTATTATTGAATACTAGACTACAATACTTTGTCGAAGATAAAGGCATACTAAATGATACACAGTTTGGATTTAGTAAAAAGTGCAGAACCTCAGACAATGTATTTATCCTTAAATCTCTCATTGACAAATACACACAAAAAAGAAAGGCAAATTATTCGTTTGTTTCGTCGACAAGAAGAAGGCTTTTGACAGTGTTTGGCGTGATGATTTATTCTACAAACTGTTGCATTATGGTATAGGTGGAAATTTTTTCAATGTGTTGCGGTCTATGTACCTTGATGTTAATTATGCTGTTAGACTACAAAACGGATTGTCGAATCCTTTTGTTTCTACATGTGGGGTAAGGCGGGGGTGCAATCTTAGTCCTTTATTATTCAATCTTTTTATTAATGACCTGCCTTCATGTTTTGATCCAAACAAATGTGACCCTGCAACTTTAACTTATACATCACTTAACTGTTTATCTTTGGCAGACGACCTCGCCCTAATCTCACTGTCTAAAGAAGGTCTACAGAACTGTATAAACAATTTAGAAACAAACTGCAATAGATGGAAATTAAGTGTTAATGTAACTAAAACTAACTTCTTATATTCGCGAAAGGAATACCAAACAAATGTGTAAATAGATTCTACATATATGGACAGGAAATTGGAGTTACCGATAGCTACACTTATCTCGGTATACCTCTCACGTCTTCGGGCAAATTTAAAACCGCCAGAAAATATTTAAAAACTAAAGCAATGAGAGCATTATTCAAACTTGAATCCCTTTTGTTTTCTTAAACTAACATTTCAAATCAATTAGCAAAAAGCCTTTTCAACAAATTTGTGAAGCCGATTTTTCTATATGGATCCGAATTAACATGTTTCGACCAAACATCTAAAACACTAAAACTTAATGTTTCTACGCGTATTTCAGAATCCACACCAAAAAAAAAAGTTTAAGTTTTCTCCGCTGTATTAGAGAAACTTGGACTAGATAAAAACATTCCTGCTTCGGATAGAAAGAGTTTAAGCTCCACTTGTGCCCACACATATGTGATTCATTTTGAAAGAAGAACGGATAAGGACATGTATTTTAATCTAGCGTCTCGTCTAAAATTAGAAAACGATTTTAGTTAAGTTGTAGAAGACCATACAAAAGTCTCTGTACTTTCTGTTGTGTCATAAAGAATCTCTTCATGCCCGTCGCAGGGGGGGGGGGGTCGGAAGAAGGTCCACTTTTCGGTCCACTTTTTATCTAAAGGTCCACTTTTTGGTCCGCTTTTTATCTAAAGGTCCAAGATTTTTCTTCAAAAGGTGGACTGATTCGTGTCACCAGCCAGCGAGGCTGGAATCATAGGATAACGGCTTTTCTTTGAAATCCTCTAAAAAACGCAGGATATGCCATTTTAGAAGGTTCATTATTGTAGCTAGCGTTACTTGACGATGTATGTATGTAACGTTATCTATATTCCATCCTTTTTTTTGTGACCTGTACTTAACCCAGTGGGTATGTGTGTACAATAAAGGTCTTCATTCATTATTCAAAATTTCCCGGGGGAGCATGTCCCCGGACACTGTTCTGTACCTGAGTGGGCACAGATCGGGACACAGCCAGTAACTTTCCTGAACTATGCCTGGAAGTGATGTCAATCATGGTTTACACCTCGAGCACTGAACGGGACAGGCCATTGTGTATCCAGAACTGTGCGGGACCCGGGCACGGTTATGGATAAAGTGTCTGTGTAGCCAAGAACGTGATTTCTTTAGATACGGAAACGCTTCAAGGTTATCTAGAACCGTGCCTTCTGGTGGATAATCACAGTGTTGTATCAAGAACTGTGTTTGCGATTATCTAACCAGTCTCGGATGAGTCAAGCCGAAGAAGTTTTATCACAAGGGGAGCCGCCGGTGTGACAGAGATCTCGCACCCCCAGTGATTTCGCATCCCCCGGAGCGAAATCACTAGCGATCTCGCACCCCCCGGAACGATATCACTAGTGATCTCGCACCCCTTTGGTGATCTTGCACCCCCCGGGGGATGCAAAATCGGTAGCGATTTTGCACCCCCTCAATCGATTTGTTCACCCCGTATGTGTTCTGTTACGGCCTTCGTAATTCACAGTGGTTACTATTATAATATCAGATGCTACCTATTAACAAACACTATCCTCTAGTATGACAATACCAATATTCAGTAATTACCTTCGCCAAGAAGGTTATGTTTTCGTGGCGGTGTGTCTGTTTGTCTGTCTGTCTGTCTGTCTGCCTGTTACCACCATAACTCAAGAACACTTGAATATATTGTCTTGATACTTGGTAGGTGGGTTGGTCTTGATGAGACCTCGAAATGATTAGATTTTGGGCCCCTTAGCGGCTTGTTATGGTACTGCAGCAGAACTTCCGGTTTTGATATCTCGTGATCTGAACATGCTAGGGTCATGAATTTTGCATGATAGATAGCTCTTGCCCTGGGGAATAAGTGACGTAAGTTAAATTTCTATAATAAAGTTTAACAACAATAACAACTAGAGTTCGACAATCTCATACCTCCATGACATGTTTAGTGCTTTCGTAAAGCGTAAAGCATAGTGATGATCACATAAATGGCTTACATTTAAAATCCTGCTCATTAGCAAAATTTTTATACAAATTATTCACATAGCCCCTACCTAGTAACATACAACACACTGGTGAAATCCTTACCATTTAACATGGACAACGTATGATATTGTTGGTTATATGCAAGTATGACCTCTGACATACCTTTGCCAACTCATGTTTGCCATCCAAGCTGACGAATTATACATTTTGTACTGCCAATATGCAAATTATAAGAACCCATTTGCATATATTATATCATTTGATCATATTCTCCGTCCAATGACAGGGTTATCTTAAGAAATAAGGCTATTCTAGCATTTCCTCATAAATTATGCAAATGAGGACCTGATTTGAATAAATTATGTTTAGTGATGTTCGCCTTAATTGAACTTCCAAGTATGGCAAGTATTAAATTCACAGCAGTTACCACCATAAAATTGTGCCAATTTGCCATTAATTATGCAAATTAGGTCTTCATTTACATAATCAATATCTACCAATGATCTTGTTGTTCTCAATTACATATGTCTAAAGTGTTTCATAGCC